AATTATATCATAAAATATTTTTGCTTGATTAATTTTTCAGGATATTATTTTTGGTTATTTTATATGTTTGTAAACTAATTTTTATTAAACATAATTTATTCATCAGTTAATTTATCAATTATCAACTAATTTATCAGATAGTTTATCAAACATATTTTATACACAAGTTTAGACATATTAAATTTTGAGGGAATAGGTTAGAAGAACAATATAATATATATAAAAAATAATATTATTTTTTCTTTTAAAAATGTTGATGAGCGTTATTAATGAAAAATAAATATAAGAAATATGTTAGGTAAATAATTACCGTTTATTAATGGGCCGGCTTATCGTTTGAATTTCGAATAACGTGGGCCCATTCTTTCGGGTGTCTTTTCATTTTTCAAAACGAGGCGCCTTGATTGAGGGCAATGTTGTAATTTACTCAGGACCTTTCAACAAAATGTCACACAGACCCTTCTAGTTACACAAGAACCTTTTTAGACCCTCATATTTTGTAGATTTGACGATGTTCTTATAAAATAAATTACAGTATAGTTGAACATGTTTAAAACCCTTGCACGACTGATCAATTTAAAATAAAAATAAAAATAAAAATAATATATTTATTTATATATATTTAAAACCCTTGAACATATTTTGTATATATATGTTTATATATATATATATATATATATATATATTTATTTATTTATTTATTTTAAAATAAAAATCACAAATTTGTAAATATTATCTGTTTTTTTTATAAGGTTTTTATTAAATAATCATCTGATGTATTTTAAATGAATTGTATGTTTGAAATGTTTGTCTTAAATATTATTGATTATTTGGGTAAGTTAACTATGGAATGAATGACAAACAAGCTCCTTCCTCTTTCACACTTGACAACAATGGTGAAGGAAGAGATAACGACGATGAAGGAATTGTTATATGCACAATGTAGATATGGTGATCGATCACCCATGTTATGCCAAGTGTAACGAGGACGAATCGCGTACACTAAAACGAAAATAGTGAGTTCCCATTTGTAATTGATATCAACGTCCCGAGTGTGAGGCGCCTCAAGCATAACATAACCCGACATCCCATAAATCCATGTATGCTCCAACATAAATGTCCATGCATATAGTGTAACACATGTTCATGTATGCATACTTCATAAAATATAACATATCTCGTGGATATATCACATAAACTATATGAACGTAAAATCATCATACTATACGCATCTCATTTGGTAAAAATAATAAATAAAGAAACCCTACATCGATTGTTGTCATCGCTTAAAACAAATGATATATACAGTACATGGTTCAAATAATAAGACTAAATATTGTTAGAAGGTAAAAATAGAGGTGAAAAAAATCATTTGCAGATGTATATGTAAATCCATATGAATAATCTGTAATGTTGTTCACATATGGATATTCAAATGATATTTTTCAATCGATTCATCTATGAATCTTTCATTTTTGCATCCTCATTTAACATTTTTATTTGAACTAACACACACACACACACACACATATATATATATATATGTATGTATATATAGCCTTAATCAAATGAGAATTATGTAGTTTGTGATAACCATGATATCCAATGTGAACCACTAATTTGAGATATTTAAGAATATTTCTTAAATAAGTTAAAATCATAATTTAGTAATTTTATTTATAACAACTCATCAAAGGATTTAATTTTTTTTTAAAGAAATATATGATTAATTTTAATTACCTAATATATATTGTCTTTTAAAATGTTTGTGAATCAAAGTGCATCATAGTGATAATGTTCACAAAGTATTTTTGTTGTTTTATAAAGTGCATCATAATATGCATTTTCTTATTTTCATTGTTTTTCAAGGGCATCACAATGTGTTTTTTTTTTGTTACTTTAAGTGCTTTACAAAGGTATCACAGTGTACATCTTATATGTATATATGGATATCATAGTGAATATCGTTCGTATATGTATTTTTAATGATACTTTTTAGATATCATATTGTGTTCACATAAGGTTCATCGAAATAAAGTTTGTTAAGATGAAGAGATGATATTTTTAAAAGTACAATTAAAGAATGAAAAATGATGGTTGACCTGGACCGTGTAAGATGGATCGACCCATTTGGAGGTTTGGGCCTATGGGCCCTTTAAAGTTTAAACTAACAGAACAATTGATCCGACTGGAGAATATCCCGATCAAGACCCGGTGGTAGATATGCCGACAGGCATCGACGTTACGCCATGAATTATAGCAATATACTAATAAAAAAGCAAAATCCACCATGGCTTTTCTCAATATTCATCGCATCATACCCGAAAATTCTGGAGAAAAACGAGAACGGCTTACAGAAGAGGAAAAGGTGAATTATAGAACACCGTCAAACCCTTTTCAGATCCAGAATCGACTTCGACCCAAGAAGGTATTTGACCCTTTCCCTATTTCTTCGATTCTATTTATTTTCATGTTCATAAAATTCATGTAATCGCTGACTAAATTCCTTTTTCTCTTGTTATTTATACAAGTCGGAAATTTTCTTGAGAATCGATATAGCTTAAAGGTCCTTTATCTTGTTTGGGAAGTATGGGGTTGTTTTGATATAATATTTTTCTTAGGATTCGTGTGATCAATGTTTTTTTTTTTTAATTATAAATAAGTTCCTATCAGATATATTAGAAGTACCATGCTTCGCATATTTGATGGCATACCAATAAAAGCAACTTGTTACTTTGGGGTTCTTCTCTTATATGAAGTAATTCAAATTCGATATAAGGAGACGTAACAAATTGTGCATAAAGTTTCTTATGAATTTCATCATGGAAAGTGAAACTTTGATGCTTGGTGCATGGAAGTGGTTGGAAGAAGAAGCTTGATAATGATAATCATTGCTATTCTGCACTTGGTTACAGTCCTCTTTATGTGAAGGTAGCTTATTGCTAATGCATTATTGAAACTGGAAGTAGAATATGTGGATGGATTCCATCTTATTTGATTGAAAAGATGTAGTAGGTTCTTCATCAAACCTTTTTATGCTAAATGGCGATGAATATTTTTGTATAATTAGAAGGAGAGCAGAATAGAATGACAAATGGATGAGTTCTCTAAGCAATATGAATATACCGATAAACATAAAGCCATGCTGAATTTGGCTGATACATTCATCCTGCCTTAAAAACCATCTGAAGGATCCTGAATGGAACATTAGCTTCAATGATAGTTTTAATATGCTTTGCAACCTAAGAGAGGAACTCTGGAACCAAGTTGATAAGCATGTGGCAAGGGGGATTTGAGTAAATCGCTTTGCAACAGCCGTGGTTGTTGACTAAGATTGTTGATCATTTGTTAAGTCGGTTAGGGGGAAATTAGTCGGTTAGGAGGAGGTTAAAAATAAGAAGGTAGGTTGTAAAAGATGAAAATTACTTTGCCATCAAAGTGGAATAGGGAAGATGCGCAATAACCAGCAAAGCATTAGTTTTGTTTGTACAATAACCAGCAAAGCATTAGTTTTGTTCGTATTATTTGCCGATATGCTGTCATGATGCAAAATGGTGTGCATCATTTGTGTTAGAGCACTGGATCTTGAAGATGAACAGGACTTTGCTCGCCAACTTCAACAAGATGGTTGGTGTTCTAAGAATTCTTCAACCATGGTAAGATCGATGAACTCGTCAAAATTGGAAACCCTAATCCCAGTGGCCATCTCAATGCATCCCTTTCAAAATTCCAAGATTCTATTAAGAAAACAGAGAGAGAAGACAGAGATGAAACCAACAGTGTGGAATAAATCGGCAACAAAGATGCTCGACATAGAAGAAACTACGAACAGACAAGAGGCTATTCCAGGTTGTTTTGACAGCCGAGAGAAAGAAGATGAACAAGAATTTGGTAGAGGGTACAAGCAGTTACAACAAGGGAAGATCTTGGTTAGGCGATACTCCACGAGAACCTCCTCCATCAGCGTGGCCACCACGACCATGGTTAGACCTTGACAAAAATGGGAAGAAGATTGACTATATGAGCAAAAAAGCATGAGAATGGGAACAACCACCACCATCCTTCGTCACCATCGCTATTCATCAGCATCGCTATTCATCAGCATCAGTTACCCTATAACTGGCCATGCAAATGTCATCCACCACCATTTTTCAAACAAACACTCCCTCATATCGTAATACCCCGAAATATTCTTTTAAACCCAATAATAAGATGCTTGTTCCTTCTGAGACACCCACCGTTTCATTTTTCTTCTCTCTTCTATACCCTTCGCTTCTCGTTCTCCCCAATTTCGTTCTTCGGTTCCAAGTTTAAGTTTACGTTCTTCCAAAAATTCTACGAATAGGTGTTTATCAAAGCATATGGGGGAGTTCACTTCATATTTCCACCAAGCTTCATTTTTTAAAAAGAATCTTTATATGCTTACTTCTCTATGGTCATGATCTCCAAAGAAAAGTGATTGTTCATGGAGGGATGCATTACAAGTTGGACGTCATATTAGCTTTTGGTTAGTATTTTCTTTTTCCACCTTCAGGACAAGGTGGAGCTTTGGCAGGCGGATATTGATGAACATTGATCAAGGGCATTCGGGTAAAATCACTTTGCAGCGGTCCTTATTGCTGACCAAGATTGTTGGCCATTTGTTAAGTCGGTTAGGGGGGAAAAGAAGTCGATTAGGAGGATTATTTTTGTACAAAGGTAGGCTGGTTGTAAGAGATATGAAAGTTACTTTATAATAGACCCAACCTCCCGGAAGTTGGGCATTAACCAGCAAAATATTTGTTTTGTTCCTATTCTTTGTCGATTTGGTGTCATAGTGCACAACGGTGTGCGTCAGAACTTATTGTATCATATAACTATATAAGGTCCGGTTGACTTTTTCTGTACAAGCATATGCAATCCTACTTTATAATGGAAGCAACGAGGGAAAAGTATGGAAGGTAAAAGTGTGGCCAACGAAGAAACTGGAGGGTCTTTCAATAATCAATTGTGCAAGCTGTAGCAATTTGCAAAGTTTTAGTCATTCAATAATGACTAGAAAGAGATTGATGCTGAATATGGTTAGAGATATATGTTGATGGCATCTCATTCGCTTCAGGCTTTAGCAAAACAAATGTAATAGTAATTATGAAATGTGTTCATATCTACCCTTTATTGTCATTGGTCAGACAGTCTGAGGAAGAGATTTGATCAAAAGCTTTGGCCTTTGTGGGTATCATAGGGTTGTTCAATTGAGTTGTCCCTTCAACTTTCTTTCATTCAACATTCATGTTGTAACAAACATATGCTTGCTATGTCTGATTGATGCTTAGTCATTGGTATAAGAGCTTGATGTTTATTCATAGTTGATTGACACAATGATACGCCAATTTTATCAACCATATAATCCTTTTCTTTTGTTTGGGAGGGGGGGGGGGTGAAGATCTCTATTTGTCTTATTTTCTAATGGTATGCTTACCAACTTTGAGTGAATTATATTACTAAACTCATTGGGATTGTAGGTCTTAATTTTGTACCTAATTCCTAATTGATATACACAAAATTTTGCAGGAACCAGTTCTTTCTGAAAACAGTCATTGAAGTACAAACCTAGATTAGTTGTATATATTGTCGATCATCGCATTTCTGTCTAGTCTCTAGTGATTCAGAGACTACCTTGATTATAGATGTGGCCTATACATATCCTTAACAAGCTACTAAAATCCGAAGGAAATAACATTCAAGAAGAGGAAGATGATACAAGTTTGGCTGAACCATACAATTTCAAACCTTCACCTAAAAATGGTAACGTCAACAAGACAGATTTGGGCCACTCGCACTTTGTTGAAGTAAGTTCATCTACTCATATTCATAATTTATATTAGTTGACATGCAGTGTTGTGACTTCAAGATATCAAGACTCCTCCATAGCTTTTCAAATATGATGTATCATCGCTCTAAAAGAAACTAGATTGCTCAATGTTTCAGGTAGTTTTTGTTTTTTATTTTCCAAATTAATTAAGTTCTTTTCTGTAGGTCCCACATATAAAACAATCACGTTCATGGGATTGTGGTCTTGCTTGTGTTTTGATGGTTTTGAGAACGCTTGGTCTCAACCATTATGATATTCAAGATCTGGAGGATTTGTGTCGTACAACCAGGTATCTTCTTCTTCATATTATATCTGTGCTAAGGTGTATATTTTTTTTATACTAAGCTGGTTCTAAGGTGTAGTGTCTTGCTAAATCCAAAAATGTATATATCCTTTTAGCCAGCGCATATTTTGTATTTTATTTGACCCATTTTTAAAAAAGCATTAAGCGAGGCTAGGCGGTTGAGGGGACTTCAAGTATTGAGCAACTAAGCAGAAGCTTGTGAAGAGACTTAAGTGGATGCATAAGCAGTTCATATAGATATCTAAAAAAATTCAGTTCTAGATTTTGTTAATCATATGAGGAATCAAATTCCGATATTATTTTCTTTTGATGCATTTACTTTTCCATATCGCTACAATTATTGACAAAGGCTGGGGAAGACTCACTCAAAGTTCGGAAAAGTAGATGGATGAGATGATGAATAGAAATTAAAAATAGTCATTGATCCATGTTTGTTGTGAATCGTTTATTAAATGAGTAGTTGCTAATCAAAGCAGTGGGGTGGGTGCTTCACTACCAGGCTACATTGAGTGTCCCTAACTAATCCAAAAAGAGAGGGGTTGCTTAACGGCTAGGCGGCTGCTTAAGAGGGAATTTTAGAACAACTGATTTGACCCCAGGTGTGTACTTGGTTTGAGGTACTATGTTGGCATAACTTGCTGTTCAATTTTGGATGCTTTATGAGAACAATGAGGCAGGTAGTCTATTTAGTGGAGTCGTTTAGTTTTTTACGTTTTTGCTCTTTATGGTGTTTACATTTGGCCTACCTAACTAGTATTGGATAAAAAGCTTCTTGTTGTTGATTAGCTTTAGGTTTAGACAGTTTTAACTCTTTCAAGCTTCATGGTGGAACGTATCATAATAATGCTAAAAGAAGTTAGTTACCCCTCGTAATTCATTGCAAAAAAAGTGTCATACAACCGGAATTGATGGTTTTGTCTGTGTCTGGGATGCGTGTTATGAACCAATGCTGAAGGGCTGCATGCTGTAATGAAGTATGGTTGTTTTCAGTAGAAATGTGTGACTATCAGTCAAATGTCTTGAAGTTTATTTAATAATGATAAACTAGGGGAATCTTGTACACTAAAACAAAATCTTCAATTCTTCATAATTATATAATGGCCATCAGTACTTTTAGTTTAAGGTGCCAAAAAGGGAAGTACTGTCTTTTTGTGATACATCCCAAAATATGTAATTTCTGCAGGACTTATAAAATTCTGATGAACTTTTATTTGTTTGTGGTTTTGTAGTATATGGACTGTGGATCTGGCATATTTATTGCAAAAGCTTTCTATTAGATTCTCTTACTTCACGGTAACTTTTGGTGCTAATCCAGATTTTTCAGTGGAGACATTTTACAAGGTAATTTTCTGTCTCACAAGCGGAATTGATATATGAATCCTCCCAGATTCAAATTCACATCTTAATTAACATTCTTGGATACTATAAACTAGCGTTTGCTTTTTTGTTTGCAACCAAGACATCTCTTGTGCTACTACTATCTTGTCAGCTTTAGCTACAAAGTAGGAATGTAGCAAATTTGCTGGTGTATTGTATCTTTTACAAATACACCACTTATCTCTTTCTTCATAGGTACCCCAAAATCATTTTGGTTTTTGCAGGAGCAATTGGCCAATGATATAGGGAGAGTAGATATGCTATTTCAGAGATCGATAGAAGAGGGAATAAAGATAGAGGTAGAACCGTTGAACATCCCGATGCTCGTCTCTTGAATTCGTATATCAAAATAGTGGGGGGTTTTGAACTTTAAAATTTCTAAAAGCACTTTTAGTCCTTCTTAACTTCGGAATATTTCAAATCTAGTTGGTAATTTTCGTGATATCTTTATAGTTGGTAATTTTCGTGATATCTGTATAGAAGTTCTGTTTTTTTTCTTGTTGACTCTTCCATGCACTTCAGAGGAGTAGTGTCATTGGTTGTCTTGTAATGAGCCCCAAATGGAAAGGCTCATGATTTAGCACGCGAGCTGCATGAATTTTTGCATCTGCTAAGGGCATCTCCAACCCAACCACTAAAAAAATAACACTAAAAATGGTAGGTCCATTGAACACTAAAGAAAATCAACTCCAACCAAACACTAAAAATCATCTTTAATAGTATTATAATAATAATAAACATCTTATTATATTAACTTTTAATCAATATATATTATATATAAAATTTTAAAAACTTAATATTATATTAATATATATTTTTAGAAGTCTAATTTATTGACCTCCAAATATAGAGGCCAAAACACGTCCATTTTTGTGTTTTTAGTGTTGGGTTGTAGATGATCTAAGTGGGAAATTGAGAAATTTCTTGTGTTATTCTAAATAGAAACAGATGGTTGATTGCATGAGATTTGTGCGATGTTGGGCTCTTCACAACTCATTTATAAAATACATCCAATGCATACTCACTTATTTGTGAAATTCTCCTACTTTGCAACTTTGATCAGAAACATTTAACTTTCTCAAATTAATCCTGGGGGGTGGGGGTCGATTTTATTGTTGTTTGCTACATATTGAAAATTCTTTAGATGCTTGAAATAAGTAAACACATTTCTCCTTGCTAACAGCGCAGGTCAATTAAGGGAGAAGAAATCATTTTTTTGATCTTATCAGGAAAATATATTGTGATTGCTCTAGTTGACCAGTGCATATTGAGGTATGATACTTAAAATTTAGTATTTACCATTGGCAATATTCCCTTCTGTCAAATGTGTTGCTTCTTTGATTGGATTTTTTGAATCTACATTTGTAAAGTTGCATTTTTGTATGGAAAATTACGTGTTACAGATGGGCAATTTATCATCAAATCAAGAAGCTTACTTTCTATGATGAATTTAATTTTGTAGTAAGCCTTGGAAGGAGGATGTTCGTATACCACAATTTTATAATGGCACTGCAGCTTATACTGGTGAGACATGACCACTTTTGACTGTTAAAAGTACTTGACAAAAAGAAAACTTGCTTTTGCTCTTACCTTTTAATAGTTCTATTAAGAGGCAGCATCCGAATTGTTAAGAGGTGAATCTTGTTTGACAAAAAAAAGTTTTGCCGCTTAATGGTTCTAAAACTCTCTAAATGATTTTGTATCTTAGGACTCCCTGAACCATTCAGCGCCCTAATTTCATTATGAACAATTATCAAACAACCATATTTCATTTTGCACTTAATCATCCTGCAGCAAACCGTTCAGCAATTGCCAAACAGCCCTGAAGACTTGTTAGTTTCTTCTTGCGGTTATGTTGGATGTATAATGCCTTTGAAGACCACAATCTAACTTGTCTCTGACATTTCTTGAATCCTCTGTTCCGTTTACGTTTCTCTGCATACATATTAGCTTTTCATTATCCAACATAATAGGTTTCAAAATGACAAAGAACTTCAAAAAGACCGTAGATAAAATAAAGGATCTTTCAGAAAGTGATCCGAATCCTTTCGAGGCAAGGTCGCATGTCATTACGATTATGCATCATAAAAAATTGTATGTTGGTTTTCTCAATTGCTTTTATATACTCTCCTGTAGTAAGAATCCTAGTTTCATAAACTTGATGACGAACGCACGGACTTGTAGTCTTGTAGATGGAAATGGAGGAAATTGTTAATGGTTGAATGACTTTTTATAGGTCACTATGTTGTTATCTGTGGCTATGATGCTGTTACCGATGAATATGAGATCCGAGATCCAGCCAGCTCGCGGTACTAATATCATTTACCTTCATCCTTGCCCATTTCAGCCTAAAAAAAATGGCATATTTCATATCTTGTTATACATGCACAGAAGATACTTATGTTGGATCGGTTATTTAATTTGTTAACAGGAAACGTGAAAGGATCTCTTCGAAATGCTTGGAAGAAGCTCGCAAATCATATGGCACAGATGAAGATATCCTCCTGGTAAAAATGATAAAATTCTTCATTTCCAATTTGGAATCCCCAGATTTGAGACAGTACCAGAACTTGGTTATTATTTAAGGTGGTGAGCTTGAATTCTAATTTGCAGGTATCACTAATGAATGCCGAAAATTAACAAGATTTTGATGAATATTATTTCCGCGGATGGCGATGGTCATGTACAGCAGCATCCTTCCTTTGTGCAGTGTAAAATAAGTGAGAATTTGTTCATGGATTTTAGGAAGATTTGATTGATACACCAATTGTTTATTCGACAACAAACCAATCAAATTTGTTGTACTATCATACCACTTTGTTTGCCATTTTATGTTTTCAGATTGTGAATTGATTAATGTTTTATACACAATAATTTTAAAATCATATGAAGTGGTATTTGCAAATAATAATAGAAAATGATGAAATAATTAGGTGGTGATGAAGCATGGGAATCTTGTATGTTATGGGAATGGGAATGGGGGAGTAAAACATGGGACGACACCAAGGAAGGAGAGACACAACACAATGTCGTCAAAGTGGTGTGGGGATGTACCCCCGACACCTTTTATGTTGTTATTATATAAATAAAAGAGGGTTTTAATAAATCACATAAAGGAAAGGATGATGGTGTAGGTTATAGAAAAGGTGATGAGGAACAACATAAGATAGGGAGGGCATTTAATAACTGCTTAATTAATGTGTCGTTCCCATGATTGTTGCAGGTGGATGGGAAATGTAAACAAATGGCAAAAACCAAACCCAAACTACACAAATTTGCATGTGCCTCCATCACCTAATTTAACAAACAAAATAATGATTTATTTGTACCTTTCCACATTATTGCACCATCTTTATGGATCCACATGTGCATTTTAACTCCTACATTCACCCCTTACTTATTTATTAAACCATAAATTAAAAACTATTTGATAACATAATTTTGATGTTATAAAATGGTATGTTGGGATAAATTAAAAAATCCAACATGTAAGTTATGATTATATGTTTATTACGCATTTATCTTGTTTTAAAACCAATCAAATTTTTGTAAATCTAAAACTTAATCATTGAGTAATGAGTCACTGCTACAGTATGCAATTGGCAGCTCCGTTGAACAACAATCATATATATAAAGATGGGTGGTCGTCTTTAATTTACCCGTCTTAAATTAAAGGGGTGTGTGGGGGAACCCTATGTAGCTAATAAAAAAGGACATATAATAGGATTATTAGTAGACTGCTTTTAACTTTGGATTAGGTTAAATGCGTCCATATACGTTAATTTCCTTCTTATCTACATATGATTGATTTGATTTTAATTTACATTAGGATGCATATATCATCACTCTTGACTTTTGGACCATGTCTAATATCATATTTACACTTTCATTAAAAGATTATTTCATTGGTTAATTTCGATATTTATGTTATATTTTATTTTTTTAAATATTTAAATTAATATGTTTCATATTACATATATAAGGATTAAATTTAAACTTTTAATAACTAAAAAAAGAAAAGAAAAATAATAATAATATGAGTAAATTGATGAAGGGGATTGAGATGCAACCACCAAAACCAAAAGGTGGTTCGTATATGATATGATATGGTTCAACCATCATCATCATCATCACTCACATGCATCAGGCCCTCTATTTGTAACACCTATCATATATGTATCAACCACATTCTCATTGCATAAAATTATATATCTCTTTTTTAAAACAAATATTGAATGTCGTATCCATACATATGTGACCCGACCCGATCCATCATGGTGTATTTATTGGTTGTACAAATGTAGAGGGTTGTATAATAACCTATATATATATATTAATTTTGTTTTTGAATTTTAAAAAACATAACGTTTGACTTTTAGAAAAGAAAAAAAAAAGAGTAAATTTAAAAAAAAAAATTGGTATTATCTGAGGGAAACAGGAGAAAGGGAAAGGCTCAAAGACAGGCCCCACTTGTTGTGATATCTCCTCCACCCAAACATTTGCAATTCGATTACGATTCTTGATTTCTGGCGGGAAAAGGAAACATATCATATTTCATTTTGGAGCCCAAATAAATCACATCAGTTTTTAAAATACCTACAACTTATTTAATTGGTAATACATAGTTTTAATCAATTATTTAATTACTAAAAATTAAATAACAACATGAAGATACCTAATTTTATATTCTGAAAAAATTATAATCAATGCCTAATTCCAATTAGGTTGTTTATTTAATTTTGAAAAACCTAAAAATATAATAAAATCAGAAGCACACATATTTAATATTAATTTATGATAAAGAAAACTGTAAAATATTTGTTTGTATTTAATTAATAAAATGGAGCAGCTGGCAGTGGCAGTGGCAGTGGCAGCCATGAAAACCAAAAATATCTTGATCTTGAAGTTAACCAAATCATATCCATCCATTTATCCATGATAACAATTTTTTTTTTAGCAAAATTCAAATGAAAAGTGCGACCATTTTACCGCTATTTTTACTCGATTCGAAACTCCATCCTTCTCCATTCAAATTTATGACTCCATCCACTTTTTCTTTTTAATTAAATTCCAGATTAAAAGGTTGTTGTCAACTTTTTCTAATAAAAATAAAAATATTGAAATATAATTATTAGATGATGATTTAAATTTATAATTGTTTATCACATGCTTATCACGTAAACGTCTCTCGGTAATAGTCACTGAACTCATTTACTGGTAACGTTTTCGTCATCAAATGTCTTTTATCAGGTAAGCTTTTACCATGTAAAAATATCATATTTTATCATGTTCACTCGCTAATACAAATAATATCTAGTAAACGCTTGCTTGGGAGACATTTGGTGAACAAATATTATGTTAAAAAAATGTGTAAAGTTGTTTCTAATTAAACTTGTTATTAAAAATCGTTTTAAATAAGTACTTAACAGGAAAAAAAACCCAAGTATTTATTAGATGGATTCTATGCAGAGGTTTAAAAAAGGTGTGTTTGTATTATTTTGGCGGGAATAAAATAAATCGAATTGAAACATAGAAGTTGAGGTCCGTTCAACCATTAATTAATGTTGTTTGTACGATTTCTTTTATTTTTGGGATAGAAGCCAACCGTTTAAACCGGTTGTGCCGTCACCAATTTGGTGTTAAAATTACCACACACTTTCAACTTCGTACATGTCGTGCTCTATACTTTTCCTTTATTTTGGTTTTTATATGCATCTCTAACGGTTACGTTAAAATAGAAAAATTACAACTTTATCATATATTTTTTTACTCCATCAACTATTTTATCTTGTATTTTAAAATAGAGAGATGATAGACATCTTTAAATTTAGAGAAATATCTAAATATTAACTTGGAGGTGGAAACATCGTTAACATTTTACTATAAAAATCACATAAAACGAAGTAAATATTCAAGTTATTGTACAAAAACTCAAAGAGAGATTAATTAAAATAGTCATTTTTAGACTTTCGTTTCAATTTTTAGATATTTCCATCACAATATTTTAAAAATGTCACTACCTTTGTAAGTGGCAACTTCTCAACTTACGGATGGTCAAAGTGTAAAAAAAGAATAAGTTTTTGAATCATGTCAACAAGTGCAAGGATCAAATCTATAAATTAGTCCCAAATATATCTGATTTAGAGATTATCTACACTTGGTTCAAAAACTTTTTTTTTACACTTTGACCCCTTTGTAAATTGAGAAGTTGTCATTTGCATATGTGATATTTTTTAAATATCACGAGAGAAATGGGTAAGAGATGAAATCAAAGTCTGAAAATAATTATTTTTATCAATTTCCCATAATCAAAATATATTAACGTAGGGACGGACCCAATTCAGAGCATATGGTGGCTTATGCCACCGTATCGTTCATCCGTCGCAATGTAAAAAAAAATTAGGGTCATGAAAATTGTCGCCATATTAATTTGTTGTGTCACCGTATATATTTTGAAACTACAATAAAAATAAGTTTTATTTAGTAGAATTAGTTTGCAAGGTTTTGCCTCCACTGCGGACCCGAATTCAAATCATGTTAATGTTATTTTCTTAGTCGTGCCACCGTTTGAATCCATCACCGTGTTGATGGCTTATAAGAATCATTATGTGTCAACACTTGTATTATAAAGACATACTACGTGAAGAATTGTCGAAACAAAAGCTACGTAGTACGAAGCCGAATTGTACGGGTATCAATAACACATGATCACCAAAATCTAAGTTGATGATGGATTATATTCGTATATGTATAACATGATGAGAATAGTGGTTATGATGAACTCCTTTTTTTCATCACATATGTTAGTCGAAGCAAGTGTAAAGTTTAAGCAACTTCCACTTACATGATTAAATACACATTAATTATATATAGGAAATGGTTCAAACGAGAAGTTTTGTAATTTAGGAAAACACGAGAAGAACCTATTAACCTCATATTGTAATAACAATAAAAATTAAAAACAATTAAAAAAAATTAAGAGGGAAAAGGGTAATACTGGAATTCAGAGTGATAAAATATAAAAAACACGATCACAATAAACCCGATAATCTGGGATAATATAATGGACTATTATAGTTATTCGTTTATTTCAACACGATTTGGTGTGATTTTGGTGTTATATGGGTGTAATAATCATGTGATTATCACACAATTATCACAATGATTCCGCTCGGCTAAAGTTAACTTAGAAAATCGACTACATGATTTGGTGTGATAATCAACTCATCAAGGATTACAGTAACATGCAATTTCAAATTGGGATGTTTATCATATGTGATAAACATCAAAATTCTCAATTTCAAAACTACTCTAACATTAAACTCAAATCAACATGTACCAATAACTATAAATCGACTAAATATGTCGGACATTCACAATTCCATGTACCTTTTATCATATGTGATAAAAAGTCCATATCATTATAGTCCTGACGATAAAAAACTATGAAATATTATTGTTGTCACACTATTATCGAACTTTCATCATCATTAACAAAACTATTTTCAAATAATTTTAAATTTGGATGTTTATCACATGTGATAAACATCAAAATTTTCAATTACTAACCTATGACATTGAAATCCTGCATTCTAGGTTGAAAAAAATTTGGATGCTATGAACCGATAGGAAGAAAATGATAGCAGAAAGTAAGAAGGAAGAAAGTGATACAGTGAACGTGATCAATCTCAACCAACTTGAACGTGATCAATCCCAACCAAAAAAATGGGACAATTCTAATTAATTAAAATTATAAAAAATACCTAATTACATTACTGCCCTTATTGACTTATTTGTATTTTATATAATTTAAATTATTGATTAAAAAGTTTGAGGTTATTAGTTTGTTCTCACATTCTCGTAAATCACAGGGGTTATCGCTTGAACCTCCACATATATATATATATATATATATATATATATATGGGTCCATTCAAGGGAGAACTGACTACTTTGTGGTAACCGTGAGATCCAATCTCAACCACAAATCAATAGATAATTAAAGAATTTATAATTTTGGTAATTTTGAATTAAAATGTTAATGCAAGAACATTTTAGGTATTTTTTCTCCTCTCTCCGTCCCCCGTCTTTCGGCCTCCGGCCACCGTTCTCGGGTGATACTATTGTGATACTTAAAAATATCGACTTTGTTAAACAAAATACACATTGTGATACCCAAGCACATATAAAATGCATTGTGATACCACTGTGTTACATCTCTGATCGACCACATAAACGACCTCAGTGTGATACCCAAGTACATATAAGATGCATTGTGATACCACTGTGGTATCACCGGATGATGGGGACGGAGAGAGAAGAGAAGAGATAAAATACCTAAAATGTCATTGCATTAAAATTTTAATTGAAAATTACCAAAATTATAAATTTCCTAATTTATCTATTGATTTGTGGTTGAGATTGGATCGTACGATTACCATAAACTAATTATTTCTCATTTGATTAGGTCCCTACATGTATATATATATATATATATATATATAGAGAGAGAGAGAGAGAGAGAGAGAGAGTTTGGTTCAAATACTAACCAAGATTTTTGTGTTAACTTTGTTAACCAATCTTGGCCATTGATTCTTACAATAAAGAATTGTGATTAATTATGATAAAAAATTAATTTTTTAAATTTACAATTTCAAAGAACATATGTGAACAAAGGGGAAAAGAGTATTTAGGTAATTTTCTTTTTTATGTAACTCCCATATCATTAATTGGGAGTTACAAAATCAAAAAATCTCATTATTTTTATTAATTTATTTTTGTTAATGTAAGAACCATATGAACACACACACACACACACACACACACACACACACATATATATATATATATAAACCATTGTGTCAAATACGAACAAAAATTGACATATATATATGAACTTGGACTGTATAATATTTATGAACACAATATGAATATAATAAGAATAGTTGTTACACGAAAGTAAATAAATAAAAAAACATGTATGAACACAATATGAACAGTTTGTGAACAATAGTTCATTCATTATGAACACATTCAGGAGCAAGTCAATGTTGAGATTTGCAGCTAGTGTACATATGAACACAATATGAACAGTTTGTGAACAATAGTTCRTTCATTATGAACACATTCAGGAGCAAGACAATGTTGAGATATGCAGCTAGTGTACATATGAACACAATATGATCAGCTTGTGAACAATAGTTCCTTCATTATGAACACATTCAGGAGCAAGACAATGTTGAGATATGCAGCTAGTGTACATATGAACACAATATGAACACTTGTGAACAATTCTTTAACAATTACATATGAATTCGAATTTCGATTGTAGTCGTAGACAATTTTAACCTTTTCATTCTCATTGTTGTCGATCTGTTTTCCAATAGGTCTATCTATATTAGTCGGACGATATCGAAATCTTTACAATCGGAAATTCTTTAACAATTACAAAATCAATATAATTATGGATAGAATAAATCGAAATTACAAAACATGAAATCGTATAAAAAAGAATATCAATATTACATAATCATCAATTATTAAGATTTTTAGATTTGTAACTCCCAATTAATGATTTGGGAGTTACATAAATGACAAATTACTTAATTACCTTTGTCATTAATATATGAGTTATATGTGAACCTAAAAAAAAGATGGAATATGATTGGTTGAGCTTGGTTAACAAAAGTTAACACAAAAAACTTGGTTAGTATTTGAACCAATATATATATATATATATATATATATATATATGTATATATATCATGTGTTGGCTTAGCATATATATTATCACTTGGAAGCCAAGCAATAAGACCCTACATAGAAATGGACTACTTTCCTTTTCATAAAGAAAGCTAATGAGTAGATGGTTTAGCAGCAAGTAAGGAAAGATAAAGATGGTTAGCACTTAGCCCAACCAAGTCAAAGTACAAGCTTGCATAGCAATGTCAATTGAGCCTATATCAAACCAAAAATAAACCAACTCCATAAACCTCATACACAAGTTTTAGTTTAAGAAGCGGTAAGATGTATATGAATATTCACTCTATCCCAATAACTAAAGACGGATTTCTTTTGTCGCGAAAACTATCAATTAAGCAAATTTGGAGTTTTACAATTCTCACGTTTTTTTCAGCAAAAACCGATTGTTATAATAGCAAGATCGAGGCTTGTATATGTGGTCGAGTGACAATGAATTCAATTGTATGACTTTTAGGAAGTCCAAATTCGATCAAAATGTAATAGCCATTATAAAGAGATAATCAACAACCAAGATGTTTCGTTTGAGGAAACTAGCTACTGCAAAGGATCTGAAAATTCCACAAAACACACATACTGGATGGGTACAAAAAAGCGCACAAACCATATGGGTAATAAAAAAACGCATAGACCACATGGGTAACCAAAAAAGCGCACAGACCAAGGACGAAACAAATATAAATCATAGAAACACATTGCTTCTACAAACAGACTGTAAATCACATACCAGAATTAGGAGGGGAGATCGACATACAGGGACGAGCCATAGGGACTAACCACAAGGATGAATTAGAAATCAGGAGATAAGATTGACATACATTGGAGATTGATCTCCTTGAGAGATCGATTTGGAGATCGAGAGGCTTGAGAGGTCGACTTGAGAGAATTGGATGTGTGGATGCATTAGTATCGAACAAATAAGGGGTATTAACGGGTTTAGTTTATCACTTCTTTTTTCCTATATGGTTTAAGAGATAAGAAGTTCGAAAAAAAAAACAGTTTGAATTTAAAAATGTATGTGATAACAGGTGGTTAAGAAGCAAATTGTAAAAAACAAACAAACAGAGCCTTCGTATGTAATCACAATACACAGAATTGTACAAATAACAGAGTAAGATAGAATAGCTCAAGAGTGGCGTTTTGTGACCGAGATCGGTGTCAATTTACGAAACTTTTTATTTATTTATTTACATGGACATGAGTATGCCTTGAGGACATATGTTGTTTATGGTAAGAGGTCAATTAACAAACATTAATCGACAAGTTGTTTATTTATAAGACTTATCATTCTTATTTGTCTTATCAGATAATATTTTCAGTCATCAAAATAAATTATAATAAATATCTTTTATCTTATAAGGGGTAAACTCCCGTTGGATATTCTTGGTCCGCATGAGTTAACAAGCCACTTAAATAATTAAAAAAACACAAATTTGAATTTACAAAAAATTTAAAACCCTCAAGACTCAAATAAATAAATGATATATTAATAAAATAAAATAGAAAATTTGAAGGTCGGAAAAACCCTGGAATCCTTGGTGGAAAGCAAATTTGTCTCTTGAACATTCCCTCCACTCTCTTTAATCACTCTCCCTTCTTCCATTATTATATCTTCTCCATCCCTCCCTTCCTCCTTTCCATTCCCCAAATGTCTGACACTCTCGCCGACCTTGCTTCTTGGCTTCCGTCGGAGTTTCTCACCCACGATCCCATGGCCATCGACACCAAACCCCCCCTCCCTTTCCCTTCCGATTTCCCCTACGAGTTTGCCTCCTCCTCTTCTAATGAGTCTGAGAGCGATGACGATGACATCTCTGGCTTAACTCGCCGCTTCACTCGCTCCTTTTCCTTGCAGGAGCGCCTCAAAATTCCTTACCCTCTTCAGGTATGTACTCTTACTTTTCTAATCGTAACCAGTGCTAACTTTCTAATTTGGGTGTATAATTTCTTTTTTTTATTTTATAATTTGGGTGTTTTTTTTGTTTGATTAGAAGAAAAGGGTTTTCTCCGGTTCGCCGGAAGCGACTTTGAGCTGGGCTGTTTCTGGGCCTACTCATGTTCGTTCATCTCCGACAACGCCGTTTGTTCACGCCGAGGAGGACGCCTGGGATCTAATTTACGCTGCGGCTGGCCAAGTCGCTAGGATGAAGATGAGGATGAACAACGTCAACGACGACGTATTTGCTAACAGAGGTCTACTCGTATCCCCGCGTCCTCTTGCCGTTGGACCTCCTTTCTCTCACCATCACCCTAACTGTACCATATGGAGGAGTGGAAGCCAAGAGTTTATCAAGCAACAACATTTTCGTTACAGAGTTACCGGAGCCGCAAACTACGGCGGCGGCGGTCGATGTGGAGGTGGGCAGCCGATGGGTTTTCGTCAATCTGCATGGCCTCCCCTCCCAGTTGAAAACCATCGGCGTCAACAACCCTCCACTGGGTTCATCGCCAAACCTGTTCTCGGCGGATCTGGTGGCGGTTGTGGCCGTGAGACCACCGTTTTAAAAAGGGAGTGTGCCGGTACCGGCGTGTTTTTACCCCGGAGATACTCTAACGATCCACCTGAATCGAAGAAAAAACCAGGTATTAGTTCTTATCTTGCTGCGATTTCCCACATTGCTAAGTCTATTTTGTTTATTTATTCTTAAACAAATAGCGAGTGAAACAAAATTTTCTTTTTCAAAATTCGAATCTAGATGCCGATGATGTTCATTTGGCCCTGTTTCTGTCCTTTTGCGCTTAATTTAAAATCCATAATCATTTCATATAATCCAACTTTGCCTTTAGACTGCTTTAATCCATACCTTTAATTTGACTTTATTGCTGGTAATGATGATTATCTTGATTTATTAATATTTAAACAGCATGTTCGCCTGCTCATATGCCAGCCAGAGTAGCTCAGTCGTTGAACAAAAGCATGGAGCCCATTATTCCACAGATCCATCTGAACACCCATGGCCGTGGTTATACCCAGTCTGACAACGGTAGTTGCTAATTTATAGTTGAAGTTCAATTAATTACTTTATTAGCCCACCTGTATTGTATATAGCAATAGCATTGACATGTTAAAGTATTCCATTCATTCCAGGAAGTGCAATGGTAGGGCGGAGGAGCGGGGGCGGCGAAAGCGCAGAAGTGGTGCTTCCTCAAGAATGGACATATTGAGTCCAAGTTTGGTGATGGTGATGGTGATGGTGATGGTGAAAAGGGTAGATAGAATAGGAATTTGAAAAAGTATAGAAGAAGGGGGTAATGGGATCCAAGGTTTTTGTTTTGGTGTTTGAAGGGTAGTAAAAGAATAAGAAGGAAGAGTAGGTGTTTTTGGGTGAAAAGGGAAAGTAAAGAAAAGAAGGGAATTTTGGGGTGTGGGAAAACTTGTCTCTTTTATTCAAAATTTAATAATAAAAGAGAAAGCATAGTTTGGTTTTGAATGTTGAAGGCTTGCTCTTTTTTTTTTTTTTAATTTATTATTTTATAGCTTGGAATATTATCTAAATGTGTAATTATATATCAATAATATTTTAAAATAAGTTGATAGCTTGTAGTTGTAGTTGTATTTGTGTTTAAGTTTGGTTTTAGCTTATCTCCAAAGGTCAAAGCTATCAGGAGGTTCTAGGTTTTCAAGAAGGAATAAAAATCTTCTTGTGGTCACGTATGTTCAAATGCGGTGACTTCGGGCTATCTGCAAAAAAGGTGGTTGCCTTGGGATTAGTCGACTCGTATAGCAGGTTGGATGCGAAACATATGGTATATAGATTTGTTTTTGTCGTTTATTACTTTGAATTTTTAGCCAAGAGAAACAAATGAAACGGAAAGAAATTGGATGAGACTCGAAAACGGTAGAGTAACTTCTTAAAATACTAAAAAGGAGAAAGTAAATGGCAATTGTAATTTCTTTTCTATAAACAAATGTATAAACAGTCGTTTAGTAGAAAAAACATCTGGGTTTTCGCACACAAGTACAAACCCAAATGCAAAACATCTTAGGGGTGTTTGGTTCATGAAATTTTGTGGAATTGAAAGGAACTGAAATGTTTAAATCTTTGACCAAATTTTAAATACCATGTTTGATTCACAGAATAGATGTAGATGAATCCTTTCAATTTCAACAAATTTCTTAAGTCACCGATTTCACAATTCCATCGCATATACCATGGATTTCAAATTCCAATCCGACAAATTCCTTATCCCTCATTCAAATTCGTCGATGTTGTATCTCGATTTGCTCTGCTCTATTATGCTCGATTTCCTTTGCTCGATCTCGTTTAAAACTAGGAATGACAACGGGTCAAGTTCGGGCCGATTATTGGTATCACCGTTCTCGAAACCGATAACTAAAACCGTCTCCATGACCGCCCCGATCCCCGTTGGGGAACCCATTAAGGTAAATATCCTTTTTTTCCCCGTTCACCGTTGGTTATAACCGAACCCAAAACGGATTTAGAAAAATTACAATATGTTAATTTTCACAACTAAAAGTAAATTACAATTTAAAAAAAAAAAGCAAGTTTAATTGTCTCAAACATAATCGAACCAATTACTAACAAAGTATTAGATTACAATATAAATCTAAACATAACTTCAAACATTATACAAGTAAAATCACGATTTCACAATTAGACAAATAAACTAGACTTTTTCGTGAGCCTTATTTGGGTTGTTGAAGTAAATTGGATAAAAGTTAAAAAAAAAAATTAATGTTACTATTTTCTTTAATGATATTATATATATATATAAATTAAAATAAATATATATACGCATAGCAGGTCGGGCCAGGCCAATAATCACCGTCCCTGCTAAAATCCCCGAAATTGTCCCCGATCCCCGCCCCGTCTCAGATAAAATGTCCCCAAACCCGAACATGGTCCTAAAGTTTTGGTTTTCGGTTTTCACCATCGGTTTCAGGTTTTTTTGCCATCCCTATTCAAAACTGCTTGATCTTATTCACTCTGCTCGATCAGGTATGCTCAACCTCTCTCTCTCTCTCTCTCTCTCTCTCTCTCTCACGTTCTTTCCATCCTAAAAAGGATTTTCTCGAAATGCCATCTATGTAATTTTCTCGTTAAATTCCGTGAACGAAAGAAAAAAATTCCAACTCCGTTAAGAATTTCATTCCAATTCCATCCAACCAAACGCAATCAAAAAACATGGTCAAATTCCATCAAATTCCCTCAAAGTCAAATTCATTTGATGAATTCCATTCTACGAATCAAACGCTCCCTTAGTATCCTTGAATGTGGATGAAAGTTGGAGACGTCTACGACCAAGTTAAATATAGAAACACGTGGTTGATGCTATACATGCTTTAAGGAATGATGTTTCTAAGTTTGGAAATATTATCTCGTATTTTGCTCCTTCAACAAGACTATTACTCTATCATAGAAATCCCGTTTCTCTTCTTGTCTCAGAATTTACTATGACATGTTTAGTTTTCTTGCTTCTAGTTGCCCGATTAGGGCTCGTTAATATATTTTTGGCTTCAAAAAAATAAAATAAAAAATTAATTATTTATGAACTTGATGGGCTTGGGTGCTGGATTATTCCTTTATGGGCGATTTATCAAGTTGGAAAGCTAAAAATGTTGGGCCCATCCAGAGAAATGCCCAAATTGAGCCGAAGTTGGTGTACGAGTACTACTCTCGAATATTATCCTATCTTAAAGTCAAATGTCAACAGTACAACAACGAAGTATCATGAAAACCTGATACAATAGATAAATTTAAATTAAAAAATTATTTAATAATATAATAAATAATTTTTTTAAAATACAATATTTTAATAATAAATAATTTAAAAATATATTAATATAATAAAAAAACTAAAAATACAATACTCTAATAAAAAAAATATAAATTTTTTTTGATATTTCGTACATTTTACCCCAAATGATAACAACTAAAATCATAGTTTCGTTTAAACTATGTTAAATTAGTCAGCCGGCTATATCTGATGCCATATTTAATTACTTTTTTAGCTTCAAGAATTCAACCAACAAAACTCTAAACAACTCTTATGGAGAACCAAACAGAGAGCAGCGGTCGCCGGTGCCGGAGAATATTACTGTTTCCGTTGCCATTTCAAGGCCACATAAACCCCATGCTTCAGCTTGGAGATCTACTCTACTCCAAAGGCTTCTCCATCACCATCCTTCATACCAACTTCAACGCACCTGCAACATCCAATCACCCTCATTTCACCTTCAAATCCGTCCTCGATAACGACCCACAAGACCCACGCTTTTTGGAATTACCCTCACAAGGCATAGCTGCTGCTATGTCTCGTCTCAGATTCTTCAATCAATTTGGTGCAGATTCATTGCGCCTCGAATTGGAACTGTTGTTAGCTTCGTCGGAAAAAGACGGGCCAATATCGTGTTTGATCACCGATGCACTTTGCCACTTCACGCAATCTGTTGCTGATAGTCTCCATCTCCCACGCCTTGTTTTAAGGACAAGTAGCTTGTTCTGTCTTGTTATTTATGCTTCCATACCACTTCTTGATGATCGTGGTTACTTCAAACTTGGCGACACCCGTAAGTTAATTGTTTAATGCTCTCATAAATTTATCTAAATCATGATCAGATGCTCATTTTATTGTTTGATTTCATGGATTCTCAAGATTTGGAGGAACAAGTGGAAGAGTTTTCTCTACTCAAAGTGAAAGACATCTTAAAGATAGGTATCAAGAACAAGGAAGATTCCATGGTGATGTTAACAGCTATGCTGAAACAGACAAAAGCATCTTCAGGAATCATCTGGAACTCCTTTAAAGAACTCGAAGAACCTGAGCTCAAGACGGTTCTTCGTGACTTTCCGATACCAAGTTTCCTGGTACCATTCCCCAAGCATTTCCCAGCCTCCTCCAGCAGTTTACTAGAACAAGATCGAACCTTTTTTCCATGGTTGAACAACCAACCACTCAATTCTGTACTGTATGTTAGTTTTGGTAGCATGATTCAAGTGGACGAGAAAGATTTCCTGGAAATAGCTAATGGGTTGGTGGATAGCAAACAGTCGTTTTTATGGGCGGTTCGACCTGGATTCGTTAAGGGTTCGTCATGGCTCGAATTATTGCCTGATGGGTTCCTTGGTGAAAGAGGGCGAGTTGTGAAATGGGCTCCCCAGCAAGAAGTGCTAGCTCATGACGCAACAGGTGCATTTTGGACTCATAACGGATGGAACTCGACATTGGAGAGCATTTGCGAAGGTGTTCCTATGATTTGTTCGCCTATTTGGGGAGATCAACCACTGAATGCGAGATACGTGAGCGAAGCTTTGAGGGTTGGGGTGCATTTGGAGTATGGATGGCAAAGAGAAAAGATAGCAAATGCCATAAGAAGAGTCATGGTAGATGAAGACATTAGAGAAAGGGCAAGAGTCCTGAAAGAAAAGGTTGATGTTTCATTGACCAATTCCGGCTCTTCATACCAATCATTGGAGTCTCTAATCGATTATATTTCTTCCATATGATCACATATTTTATCCAGATCTATTTGGTTTTAAGAAAATATCAACCCTTTTGATCTGTTTTACACAGAATATTGTTACAGAAATCTCTAGTTTCTTATGTTTTTTTCTTGTCATTGTGATCTTGTTTCTTTCTGGCCGTTTGAACAATAGAGACGAATTAAAACATAACAAATAACGGGTTTACTTATGCTCGTTGCCGACCCTAGCTATAAATTTGTTATTTTTGTGCATTAACAAGAGGCTCAAGAACCAAATGAAAAGACAATAGAGTTAAGGCTATTTAAACAAATTCCATAAACACATCTGAGTTCAGGAAGCTAATTAATTCTCCATGGAGAACCAAGAAGAGAGAAGTAGCTGCCGGCGGCAAAGGGTGGTGCTTTTTCCGTTGCCATTTCAAGGCCACATAAACCCAATGCTTCAACTGGCAAATATACTTTACTCCAAAGGCTTCTCTATCACCATCCTTCACACCAACTTCAATTCTTTTTACACGTCAAACTACCCTCACTTTACCTTTCGACCCGTTCTTGATACAGATCCTAAAGACACCAATCTTTCCAAGTTAGCTTCCCAAGGGGTTGGTGATCTTCTGTCGGGAATCATGCTGTTGAATCAGTATGGTGCAGTCAGCTTTCGCCAAGAGTTGGATCAGATGTTAATTGCTTCAAAACATCAACATGAGCCTATTGTCTGTTTGATCACTGATGCACTTTGGCATTTCACTCAATCAGTGGCAGATAGTCTTAATCTTCCCAGAATTGTTCTAAGGACAAGTAGCTTGTTTTGTGTTCTTGTTTATGCTTCTATACCTGTTCTTGATGATCAAGGTTACTTTAACCAAGTAAACAGCGGTCCGTTCTCTTTCTTGATGAAATTATATGCTAAAATGGATTCTTGATTAATATTGTAATTATAACTTGATGATCAGTTTGGATTCTTTCTCTAGTTTTTGATGACGAGAGTGTTGATTTAGATCTGAAGAATATTATATCACCAATAGATGAAAGTAACTCCAAGAAAGCTGAAAGTAGAGAGTTGGTTCGGGGTAAGCAAATTCTTGATCTTTATCATCTTAATTGAAGAACATCTCAGCTTCAAGTTTGTTTATTTTTCTTGGAATCTAGATTTGGAGGAACGGGTATCAGACATTCCAGTTCTCAAAGTGAAAGACGTTTTGAAGATGAGAATCAAAGGCCAGGATGATCCTGCAGCAAAATTACTAGCTAACATGTTGAAACAAACAAAGGCATCTGCAGGAATCGTTTGGAACTCCTTCAAGGAACTTGAAGAATCCGAGCTTCTGAAGATCCATCAAGACTTCTCGATTCCTTCTTTCCTGATCGGCCCATTTCACAAATACTTCCCAGCCTCATCGAGCAGCCTGCTAGAGCCAGATAGAAGCTCCATAACATGGCTAGATCACCAAGCACCCAATTCTGTACTATATATAAGTTTCGGCAGTGCTGTTCAACTAGAAGAACAAGATTTATTGGAAGTAGCTCATGGTTTGGCCACTAGCAATCAGCCATTCTTGTGGGTGATGAGACCAGGGTTGGTCAAAGGTTCAGAATGGCTAGAACTGTTACCTAATGGGTTCCTAGATGAGGTGGGTGAAAGGGGTCATATTGTCAAATGGGCTCCTCAACAAGAAGTACTAGCCCATCAAGCAACCGGAGCGTTTTGGACTCACAACGGATGGAATTCAACGTTGGAAAGCATTTGCGAAGGCGTTCCTATGATATGTTCGCCATTTTGGGGCGATCAACCTTTAGATGCAAGATTCATGAGCGATGTTTTGAAGGTAGCAGTTTACTTGGAGAATGGGTGGAGGAGAGAGGAGATAACAAGTGCCATAAGAAGAGTACTGGTGGATGAAGAAAGGGAAGACATTAGAGAAAGGGCAAGGTGTCTGAAAGAAAAAGTAAATGTTAGCTTAATGAAGGGTGGTTCTTCATACGAGTCATTAGAATCTCTAGTTGGTTTCATCTCTTCGTTTTAATCAATATGGATCTTTTATATTACGTTAAAAAGAACTATCGATCGAAGAACTAATTTGGGATCGGATGTTCTTCATTTTGATACTTAAATCTCTAACTTTTTTGATTAGTCCGGATATCTAACCCGCTATGCGAGCCGACTAATCACAAGACGCTTTGCAGATAGCCCGGAGTCACCGCATTTGAAACTCCGTGGCCACAAGAGGATTTTTATTCCCCTTTGGATATGAAGCAAAAGACAAACTCGAACGTCTAGTTGGGTGATACCGTATATGTGGTCTGCATTAATTGAAAAAAACGACAACCATAATAAAATTAGAAGAAAACTACAAATGTGGACGGCATTTTAAATGATGGGCTTTTTGGGGAAAAAGATGATGCTTAAAAGATTATCTTGAATTTAAAGTTCTTGAACCTGGCTGAATATGGAGATCCATGGAAGAGCTCCCACTCTCCAGTGGACAGTACCGACGGCAACTCGCCGGAGAATTGCATTGTTCTCCATGCCTTTCCAGGGTCATATCAATCCGATGCTTCAGTTGGCAAATATTCTTCACAGCCAAGGTTTTAAAATAACAATGATACACACTGAATACAACTCTCCAAATCATTCAAACTATCCTCACTTCACCTTCAAATCCATCTCCGACAACTTCTCGGAGATCATAAACCAGTTGCCAAAGAAAGACCCCAGCTTTTACATTAAGTACCTTAATAGCAGCTGTGTAGATCCGTTTAGGAATTGTCTGGCTGGATTGTTGTTGGAAGAACCGATTGCTTGTTTGATCGCTGATGCTGGATTCTATTTCACTCAGGCGGTGGCCGACGAACTGAAGATCCCTCGAGTGGTGCTCCGGACAAGCAGTCTTGGTTGCGTCGTAGCTTACGGCGTTTTGCCCATTTTATCGGAAAAGGGTTACTTCAATCCTCCTAAAGAAGGTACGTTTGTTATATCATATCCTTTTTGAGATTAATAATGTTATTCATCAAATTTGGTGAATTGGTAACGTTTACCAAATGCTTACCTGGATAAGTGTTTACCAATTCACTTTACTTTACCGAATGAATATGACAAGGACTAAAAATCTTACCTGGTGAGAGCGAAGACAAGAATCGAGAGTCTTACCCGGTAAGTGAGAACGAGGACTTTTGCCATGATTAGCGCTTATTGGGAGAAATTGTTGCATACGATGCGTTTTAGTGAATAAAATTTTACTTGGTAAGTAAACGATAGTGTTGAATTTTACCGGTAAGTGCTTACTGGATAAGTGTTTAGGTAAACGACCCTTAGTTTCAGAAAATTAATGGTGAAACATATGGGTCCTCCACCCACGCAAATCAGTCTATAACATTAAAACTCGTATAAATTCTTTACATTTGTTTTTATACTCAGATTACGAAACATCAGTGCCAGAACATCCACTTTTGAAATTTAAAGATATCGTAAAGATCTCAATCAACCCACAAGGTATGTCAGAATTCGTGACCAACATGCATAATCAAATGAAGGCATCATCAGGGATAATTTGGAACACGTTCAAAGAACTCGAAGAATCTGCACTAGAAACTATTCACCAAGATTTTCCAATTCCGAACTTCACTATAGGCCCATTCCACAAGTACTTCTCTGCGTCCTCGAGTAGCTTGATTGAACAAGACCGGACCATTATCTCATGGCTAGACACCCAAGCACCCAAGTCTGTGATATATGTAAGTTTTGGGAGTGTAGCACGCATAACTGAGTTAGAATTTCAAGAAGTGGCCCATGGGTTGGCTAATACTGGTTTACCATTCTTGTGGGTGGTTCGACCAGGGGTTGTTTCTGGTTCAGAATGGCTTGAGTTGTTGCCTGAAAAGTTCCTAGAGAGAGTGGGTGATAAAGGACGTGTAGTGAAATGGTCTCCCCAACAAGAAGTGCTTGCTCATCCCGCAACAGGATGTTTTTGGACTCATAGTGGATGGAATTCAACATTGGAAAGCATATGTGAAGGAGTTCCTATGGTTTGTTCTCCTTGTTTTGTCGACCAACCAATAATTGCAAGATATGTGTGTGACGTTTGGAAGATTGGCGTTTTGTTGAAGGATGACTTTGAAAGGTTAGGGATTGAGATGACAATCAAAAGAGTAATGATGGATGACGAAGGAGAAGAAATACAAAAGAGAATACATTGTCTAAAAGAGAAGGTAAACCTCTCTCTTGTAGAAGGTGGTTCTTCTTATCGGTCGTTACAAAGTTTGGTTGATTATATTTTATCATTCTAACCTTAAGAAATCACTTGTAATTTGTATGGATGGATCTGGAGCAAAAAGCTTCCTTAGATCTTGAAATCCCGTTATTGACCTTGGCTCATGTTTATCTAAGAATTAAATTAGAATAAAACTTTGGGGAAATTGTAAGATTATGGTTGAGTCATGAGATTTAATTTTGTGTATCACATGTGATTGTCTATAGTAAGAGGGTGTTCTCATTTGAACCCTATACATATATAAACGATCTTAATTAAAGTGATAGTGATGATGGTTAGGAAGACATGTTTGACGTAGCTATAATTTCCTCTCCTTCATCTGCTATCATTTGTTTGGCGGCCAAATGTGGTATTTCAAACAATCACATCCAACTTTTCGTTTCTAGATCAATCATTCCAGGGGAAGAATTTAAATTGTGAATCCATGGTTGAAGATGAGGGTTCAAAATATATGATGATGGTTACATATACGAGAAAATAATGATTTTTTATATATCGATCATTTTTTTAATATATTTTCATGTATGAAAAAGTGATGAATTTTTCGTACATGGATCATTTTTGTATATGGTTTCATATATAAAAAAGTTATGAATTTTTGTATAAGAATCATTGTTGTACATGGATTTTTCATATATGGATCATTTTGTTGCTTTCATATATGAAAAAAATGATGAATTTCTCCATATACGGTTTCAAGATCTTTTTGTAAATTTTTTCAAAAAACTAAGATTTAAAATCATGGTTTATTTGATATATGAGGAAGTAATAGTTTTTTTTTAAAAGATAAATATGATTTTATTTGATATTATATAAGATATTTAAGGAAGTTAATTATTCCAAAATATACAAACTTTGTGAAAAGAGCCAGACACTCTTGGTTCTAACGGTCATAACCTTCGGAAGAGTTGTAATTAAAGATGCCTCTCTTTATATATATATATATACACCTGCACCTCACATCTCGGCACAGTGGAACGTGTAACCCGCATGCTGTTCCATTCAACTACATTTGTTCCTGTAATCCATAGCCTAACAGAACGCAGCAGCGAGGGACAACCCGCCCATATAGCCAGCGGGGAGGATGGCACTACTGGCAAAGACCGTCTGGCGAAAACGCCGCAGGCGCGAAGCGTGGTAGGCCTGCGCYGGAGGAGCATAGGGAGGAAAGGGAGCCCGGACGGTGGAAGAGCCAGGGGAGGCCGGGTCATTTGACGGAAATGGAAG